GAGAGAGAGAGGCCTTGCATGAAATACTCAAAAGATATTTTTTTCTCTTATCATATATGTAGAGTAAGAGAGAGCATATGGATCCATATTTGTGAGAGAGAGGTCTTCGACACTTGGATAACATTCTTCTTTTTCTTCTTCTAATATGTTGAAAGAGAGAGAGTCTATGTGAGAGAGAGAGAGAAAGACCTCACATCGAATGCACATGGGCCAATGAGAGAGAGAGAGGGGGACCTTAAACAGGCCTTGAGCTTTTTTTCTCTTTTTTAAATGTAGTTTTCTTTTTTATCAAGGGGTTGGCACTAGGCAGGCGCCTAGACCTGGCTAGGCACCTGCCTTGAGCCTGCCTAGGCAAGCGCCTTAGGCATGCCCGCCTAAACCCGCCGCCTAGGCTTCGGTTAGGCAGATTGTCAGCCAGACCGCCTAGGCAGCCGGGCAGCCGACTTTGTCAACACTGTATCCAACTGATAAAGGATAAACTATTCTCTTCAACAAGCAAAGAGTAGCACTCAAATGGCCCCCAGCTAGCCACTTTAACCGCAAGTGTCACATCTATTCGATTCATGTTACTACTACGTTCCAGTGAAAGAATTTCCTCCTTCCACAATTCTATACTCATGAATCATGACAAGGTTACCACAAATTCCTTTTAAATATTGCATGCACAAATATTTCCTATCATCACCTCATCACATATCTTGAACCTCCTCTCAAACAGACGAAGTTTCCTCTAGAGTTGATAGAATGGTCACTCTTCTACCTCAATCAAGTTGCACTAACCTAAGCATTTCCTCCGAACCAGAACCTTCACCACATGTTACTTGAACTCTATAAACCCATGGAATTCAACCATCAAAGCTCAAGTACAGGAAAATTAGTCAACGGTCTAAGATGGCAATAAGATATTAAACTTATTTTTTTTTAACATTATGCAATAAGATATTAAACTTAAAATATTTAACATCTTCTGTAGGAGGAGCAGCAAAGGACTAATGAGAGGCATACTGTCAGCTTCAAGACCTGTTCCCCATGATGAGCATGGCACTACAAAAATCTTCAAATGAGTTCTTTTGATTAGGATACTATAAACTAAATTCAGCAAAACCAAATTTGTGAATATGCAAGCAGACGGATATGCTTCTACATAAACTGCTAAAAGTAATCACAGATGCAACATTTTACAACAGTCGCAACATATTGCGAGATGTTTTTTAGATGATACGTTCTTGGGAAGCATAATTTAATACCATAAAGATCTACCAGTCTGCATAGAACAGTTTACAGAAGTCAGAACAGAATTTTACTTAAATAAAAATGGTTCACCATTATGTTACAAGGGAAAATAATTTTACCTGAAACTGTAGTTTTCTTAAGATGCTCAGCGATCTTCTGTGCTTCAGCTTCTGCCTTTACAGCCCTATCAGACTGGCTTCCAGCAAACCTCTCTCTGTAGTCGTTTACTTCATCATCTTTCTATAGGGAAATTATCAAAGTTAAAAAGTGACATGAATAAGATAAAAGAAAAAATGGCATCATAAGAGGGGTTCAGACAGATCACGGTGGAAGTTAACGGAATAAAATAAGACAAATATCAGCATGATTCACAATATCAGTGTAAGTGAAGTACCATCTCAAAGAATAGAGGCTCTGGCTTCCCTATTTTATGCCCTGCAGGTACTATATCCCAAGGTCTCCTTTCCCTTGCAGCATCTCCTTTTTGTTTGCAAATGGAAAGGCTTTCACAAGGCAAATTAAGCTGTGCAACAACCTATAAGGCCATCCAAATATGAAAAAGGATCAAAACCCATAATAAACCTCACTGAAATATCTAAGACAAGTTTGGGACCCTCCCCCCCCCCCAGGGCTATCCTACTACCATTATATAATAAAGGAAAAATTAGGTTTCTTTTTCCTCTTGCTATTATAAATAGCCACTACAAGGCATTTTCTATGCAAACAAGCTTTTGAGATTGATGGACACAAATGAGTTGCAGTACTGTTTCCAGGCCAGCAGATGAAGACAATAGGGCAAATCTCGTTAAGTAATCCGTCCAAATTGGGCCTAACTGACGCTAGCACCTGTTAAAATTTATGTACAATAGCAAAGTGGAAGCATGACCATGTAACTTTTTTCTTTTATTGTTTTCATTTTTTTGTGATTGCATGAACATGCAACTTTAAAGAAGTCGTGTACCTTACGAGAGAAAGAAGGCATGAAAGGTTCAAGAAGAGAAGCAAGAAGATGCACAAGCCCAACAGAAGTCTTCATTACAGTGGCACAAGAAGTAGGGTCTGTTTTGTGGAGCTTCCAGAATTGGTTGTCCTGCATAATACACAGAATAGAAGAACACAAAAGCACAATTTGTTCACACTTCACAGCTTCCTGTTTCCATGTGAACCAGAAATTATGGTTCGATCCCACAGCTCGACTGGAAGGTGCTTCTTGTTGCAACCTTGTGGTTGTGGGCTCGAAGCCAGCCTGCTTAAACATCCAAAAAGAAGAAAGAAAATATGGAAAATGAATTGTTATGCACATACTTGTAGATATGCATTCCCCTCACTAGAGACGCTCATTGCAATTTTCAAACCTTGTTTGAGCTTGACCTGATCCCAAGAGCACAAGGTAAAATTAATAACTCATAGCCTAATTTACTGACACTCCATCTTGCAACTGAAACTCTACAGAAGACAAACATTTATTATCAGCCAAGATACTAAGTCATCATCACCTTCTCCATTGCTTCGACAAACTGCTCAACAAGGTTACCCACAGTCTCAGCTAACTTTTTAGTAAGTAGATGTGAATCTGCATTTGGTGCATCAGGAATGACAGAACCATAGCCTTCTCCTGTGAGTACATGAAAGCACAGAGTGAACTCAATAGCAGTAAAGAGCAAAAAGTAAAATGTTTGGCCAATCAGTCACGTAAAATAACAGCCAAAACCATAGGAATGATGTCCAAAACACTAATGCTTAAAGTGAACCCCAAAAAAATAAAAAATCAACAAAGGCAAAAGTAAACTATCTTCACATGTTAGACGAGATAATGCATGTACTACCATAACTCATAAAAGAAAGAACCAGCATCCCAATTGTCCTAAAAAAATGCAAGGGAACTGAGGAAGGCCAATAAACGACTGTAGAAGCAGCCAAGTGGCAAAAGCAAGCCTATGATTAGCAACCTTTCAGCTTAGCTTTTAAAAGAGACAAAATCAAAGGATGTTAAGTCATGGAACTTGAAACACCAGCAAAACCGTTAAATCATTGGCCTAAGAAATAAGAACCATGTTCCCATCGAGAAGAGTTGGACTTGTACAGCTTTGGCGGTCACTTAAAAGAAAAGAAGACATCCACAAAAAATATGCAGAACTGAAAGAAAGAAAGCAATAGTTGGAAAAAAAAAAGAGAGAGAAATGAGACATGATTCCAGATTGCCGTGAAAAAGGAATGACAGATGATCCAGGTTGCAGGGAAACAACAAAAAAAGGAATGGATAGTAGAAGACATGCAAGGCAAGCAGGCTGTAGCATAGATTCCCATGAATTTACACAAAGTCACAGAAGGGAGGAGAAAAAATAATTCCAGACAGGAAGGGAGAGGGAGAGAGGGACCCCCTTTTCATAAAATTTGAAATAGCACAAAATGCATGGGGGATGAGGTGCAAAAAGCGTAACAATGAAGATTGTGAAAGTTCCATCTCAGACAGCAAATGTTTTCGCAAAAGATGCATCAGGCAGAAAAGTAGGCATAAAAGTGCAAGATAAGATAGAATTTAGGGAAATCAAATGCCCTGGAGGACCAACTAGCTAAGGATGGAGCACTCGCACTGGTCGCGGACCCTTAAGAGCACGGGGTTACTTTTTGTACATCTTTGTATCTTGGTCCTCCCCCTCAAGGACTTCTTTTGTATATCTATGTAAGGGGCAACTGTTACAATCCCCTCTCATTTTTTGTATAGGGCTACCCGTCTTGGGAAAGCCTATTTTTTACCGAGAGGCCCCTGCTGTGGGCCCTCTCGACAGACCAATGTATCTCTTTCCTTCGACGCTATACAACAGTTAACAGTTTCCAAAAAAAAAAGATAGAATTTAGGGAAACAATTGGAAAGAATAAAATAAAAGAAAGAATATTTGGAAAGATGCAGCAAACTGTACATATGTAAGATAATTGAAACAACCATTGCAAGCTAAGATTCCTTATGATGCTATACAAATACAAAACCAAATTGGGTGGATGAAATATGAATCATAGTTAGTGAGGATCCAATGAAATAACTCTAATGTATCAGAGGAACACAATGCAGCAATCTTTTTCAACACCATTCAAAAAATATGACACATTTTGTGTTATGTATGAAGTCATGAGTAAAGAAACGGTAGGGGCCTTGGCGGTATACCAACAAGCCCTATGATGAAGTCTCTTACTCCATTCTCACCAAAAGGTAGGGGCCCAAATCCTCACTGACTTACCCCTTTTTGAGAATGGGGTTGGGGTTTTGATGGTAGCACCGCTTGTGCCCCAGGTAAGGTCTAAGCTTCCATGCTCACCTAACGCATTCAAAAACCACTAATGATTTCAAAAACAGGTAGGGGCTCGTCATCCTCACTGAATTACCCAAAAAGAAAAAAAAAAAAAAAGTGAGTAAAGGAGGTGACCAAAAGAACAAACAAATCCAAACAACCAAATGAACCCCTCAGGATTTATGATATAAAAAATAGTGACCACCAGAACAATGATGTATTGAAAGCCATGTGGATGAACTAGTATATACAACACCTATGACACGGGACAGTGGTACATAAGACAAAATGCATGGGCCAGTAAAACCACATAACTAGTCAAAGTAGTGCCAGGTGAGTGCCCATGAATTAGATTCAGCACTTGCATTTAGGCCATCCACTAGGTAAGGTCATATTTTCCAAGTTCACAACAAGCATAAATAGATCCATTACAAATTATAACCACACTAAGCCACAAGAATATACATAATACAACACAGTTGCACAACTATTCAACTTCTACACTGTGCCACAAACTCCCAAATAACATAACTACTCCTAAATGACAATAATAAGAAAAGCCCCTCATTATGAGTGCTACCAAACTGATCCGCTAGGCATGAATCTAATTCTTCTGAACCACATGAATGGAGCTTGAGCTTGCAGAATCTCTAGTTAGCCCCCAAGTTCCCCACTCCTCCCCCCCTACTTTCTTCTTCCAAGTGAAAAATAATATCACAACTCCCCTGATTTGACTTACGGTGAGTAAATCCAAATTACTGCAAACTACTTTCTTTTCCTATTTCTCTCCAATGTTTTAAGAATGCTAACTGATGTATTAAGTATAAGGAGTGTACAAAAAGTCGGCCACCCACAAGTTGGGTGCGACAGCAAAAACCCATACGAGAGCAAAAGCTATACAAGCAGTATACACAGACCATAAGGTGGCGACGCTTTTGGGGGTTGCCCAAGCCCCCTGATATTCTATATTAAAATCTTCATGGGAGCGACTGAGAGCGACCGGAGCGCCTCTTGAGCGCCGAACTGTCTGTCGAACACTCGAAGGGGGCTCATCAAAGGAGCCTGGGTTTCTTTGTCATAGTTGATGCTGCAACTTAGGTTGGACAGCTCCCTTGAGCCTTTGGTCCTAAGCATGGACTTGAACTGTGGATCTTCCTTGATAAAATCTATGAAAGTCTTCTGGGCGCCAGGGAAGTCCATACCCATGACCTTAAGGACTTGGAGGACATCTCCTTGGGCCTCGTCGAGGGCTTCCACAAAGTTAGAGCCAACCGAATCCTGTATTGGGGACCCAGAGCACCTTGAGGAGGAGCTAGCATGAGAGAAAGAAGGGGGACAACTCCTCGAAGCAGAAGGGGGGGGGGGGGGGAAGGAAGAAGGGCTGGGGATAGGTAGCAATTCTGCATAGGAGACGAGGAAGGCAAGGGTAGGAGAAGGGGGGGGGGGTTGTTGGAGAGCATCTCCAAGGAGGGAGGACTCGGAGCGTGGCTGGAAGAGGGAACTGAGGCGGAGGGGACAGGCGCCAAAGGGGAGAATGTAGGAAATTGGGGTTACTGGTGATCTGGGAGTGGGGGTAGGCTGTCAATCGTCCCTGAAGTTGTGCTCAGGGATCGAGGGGGAGGGGACCAAAAGATGAGAATGGATAAGTGGGGCAGAGCTGAAGGGGGGCAAGAAGGAAGAGGCTGTTGGGGGGGTAGGGCAGAAAGCCCGGGGGAAAGAAAGGGAAGGGGGAAAGAGGGCAGTGGGATGCGAGATAGGTACCAAGGGCCAATGAAGATAGAGGGAGAAGGATGGGAACAGAGGCTAGTGAGAAATTCGAACCAGCGGAGGAGGGTGGCTGTGGAGTAAGCATATTGAGGAAGCAAGAGACTGGAAGTGGGGGAGGTGACTGTGGGTAAGCGAGAAGAGGATAAGGGGGGATAGGGCGAAGGTGGGAGCAGGGCATGGCCAAGTGGGACAGAAGAGGTGGGTGAGCATAAGGTCGCTCACAAGGGGAGCGGAGCCGAGAGAAAAGGGCATCGACTAAGGGGGAGGTGGGGCCGACACACCACTAATGGTCCAAGAGATGAGGGAGGAGATTGGTGAGGAAGGACCCCCGGTGGGGGGTCTACACCCTGGGTTAAGGGAACGGCGTGCTCAACTATCAACGTTCCTCTAAGGGGCGGAGGGTTTGAAAACGTGGAGGAGACCGGAAATTGAGTGGCCGCAGCCGAAAGACTTGTACAGGCTTCGAAGGAATCTGCAGAAAAGGGTAACCGAGAGGAAGAAGGGGCAAGTGAAGAGGAGAGAGAGGGAGAGCAGGAGGTAGGGGAGGAGAGAGAATCAAAAGTCGCATCCCCACCAGGCGGCGGAGGGATAGATGTCGGGCATGCAGAGGGAAGCGTGTGGATCATGCTGGCAGGTGAGACATGGGGAGGGGACGGAGGACGAGTGACACGTGGTGCGAGCAAGGAGAGGTTGACACCTATCTAGAGTGCTTTATTGGTAAGAGGGGAGCAATAAATGCTGAGTGGGATAGCATATGGGGAGGAGACCTCATCGCTGGGTGAAGGGTTTGAATATCAATAGAGTAATGCCACCACGTGGCAAAAAGGGTCAACAGGGAAAGACACACGGCAAGGACGGGTAGGAGTTGCCGCCAACGTGTGCTAAAGAGAACACGCCACGTGTGGGGGGAGGGAGCACGAAGAGGGTGGGATAACCATCTCTTCCAATGGAGGGGAGGCGAGATGATGAGTCTTCATCCTCAACCCATCTCGCATCTGGGACGAGAGACAGTGATGGGACACTTCTACAGCAAGGGTCGATGGACCGCTAGAAGTCTTCTCGGGTAGGGGTTGAAATGAGTTGTGAGGAACAAGCAGATCGCTACTGTACTGTGTTTTTCTGGCGACTTTTTTTCCGGCGAATTTGAGTCCAACAGTCTGGAGATTTGGGGAGGGGGGGGCATTTTTATTCAACTTGCTGGGCTAACGGGATGAATTCACCAGAAAGTGGCAGCTTGAGGGGGGGGGAGGTTGGGACCCAGCTAGATCCAACCTGTGGAACAGGCCACCAGAAATGAGCTAGGTAGCTTCGGGAATGAGTTCCGGGGAGATTGATTCCACGAGCAATTGGATGGGCGCCAAGGAGGAGGAACTCAATAAAGACCGACAGCCAAGGTTAGGTTCAGCCCAAATGTTTTGAGCCCATTTTTCAATGGCCCTAAGATCAGTTCAAGGTGGGTGGAAATGGCCCACAAGGGAGTTGTTCAATGCTTCGGAAACTGCAGGGTGACAGGCCTAGAGATGGATAGTGGAGGAGCTGCAAAGCGACGACGAGAGAGAGGGCAGGATGGGGCAGGATGGGGCATGAGGGTTTAGGGGGAGGAAGAGGCTGAGGAACCGAGGGAGATGCTTGGGAAGATTGGGGATAGAAAAGGAGGACATAGTTTTGGTAAAGGGTAGGAAAGGGAGGAACATGGGGGAGAGAGGAGGAGGAGGAGCGAGGGCTCATGGTGTTTGTAAATCTAGCACATGCTCCAGTCTTGATAGTTTCCAGCATATGGTATTAGTATATTACTTCTCATCTCTTCACAAAATCAAATATCTATTCATTTATTCTTTTTAACAAGTCTATTCTTTCTCTTAAAGATCCATAATTCTTGTGGGGAAATTCACATGCATATTAATGTTGTTTTCCTTTCAAAAAATTCATGCATCTCAATGTGCATAAAGATCTAGGCCGGAGCTGGCCCAAGACCCTAGAGGCCCAGTCGAGACTGGGAATTTGGGGCCTGGCCAAGGCCCCTCCCTACTCTTTGTCTAGATGAGTCGGACCAGCCCTATTAATAGGGTTGCATTGGACCAGGCCAGTGGATATTGGAATTTCATAAAAATTAAAAACAAAAAACAATACTAGGCTGGGCAGGGCCAGGCCATGATACCTGGTCCAGGCCGGGCCCATCCCCAAGGCCAAATTTGGTGACCTAGACAAGTGCTGTTTACGGCCGGGCTGATCGGACCGCCTGGCCATGGCCACCCATAAATGTGCAATAGATACAAACTTGAAAGTCCTTTATTTGTGTGCCTGTTCATTAGTTTTTTACCCCCCCTCCCCCCACCAAAAGATAACAGTCATTCATTACTTTTAAAATGTTTAAGGTTTCCGTTAGCATCATGCATATGATCTGATGATCATGGAACTCAGATGCACATACACACTAGGATAAATATAGAAGCATGCATGCACACATAAATTTACATGTGCATACAATACATAGTTTTGCATGCCATTGGAACATGCATGGTCAAATGCTGCAGTAACAAGAGAAAATCAACACCAAAAACATAAAAAATCCCAAAATAAATAAATGGTACATTATTTGAGTCATTGGGCATCAAAAAAATTTTGGTGCTAAAGAATACTAATTCCAGGAGGAAGAAAACAACCAACATTAAGCACTTTCCTCTTTTAAGCATACCAGAACTTACCTTCAGGTTTGGCAATAAAGCTGAGGACGCGATGAATAAAATTTCCAAGGTTTTTCAACAATTCGTTGTTCAGTTTGGCTTGCAAGTCTGTCCACGTAAATAAAGTGTCTGACACCTGATGCAATACAAATAAGCACCTCAACTGAGACTTTTTCAATTGATAAGAGATCAATTCTAAGGAAACAAGAAGCATTCAACCAAAAGGAGCAAATGAATTACAAATATATTAAGAAATTGGCATTCTAGTGCATCACAAAGAAAAACTCCAGCACAACAAACCTCAGGCCTGTTTGTGAGCAGATAATATCTCCAAACTTCAACAGGTATTTTTGTATCTTTGGCATCATTACCAAAAACTCCCACACCCTTGCTTTTGGAGAATTTTCCTGTAAATGAGGGTCCCCATTGGGATGCCAGCAAAACATCAATTGGCAATTAAGAAACAGTAACCTCCAATTTAATCGAGGAGAGCATATTTAAGGGCCCAATGTCAAGTTGCCAACATTAAACTCGCAAGCGAGAGTCCAATGTCATCAAGTCGTAAAGAGTTCTGAATATCAGGGTCAAGAGAACACAAAGGTCGAAATAAGTAAACAGTTTAACTAACCCGCTTCATAGTTTAAATATTCTGTAACACTAATTGTCTTCATCAGTGTCCAGTTCTCGCCAGTTCCAAAAAGCATTGAAGGAAACATAACCTGTGTTCAAATTGAAACAGTCATAACAGAAACTAATAAAATCTCAATAAATCCCAAAGGCCTCAAGAATCATAAAAAAAATTGTTGAGGTGTTATGCACAAGATATGGAACAAATTTCTGTTAGCAATTCAGCACAAAAGGGCAAACCATCAAAAACGAAAAAAAAAGAGGTCCAATGTAGTGTTATAAAAAACATGAACACAACTGCTATATAGTCCAATATGTTCAAACAAGAAAAACCATATTTTGCCTGCATGATTTGTTATTAACTGTATACTTGAAACAGAAACTAGCCCAGACTCTGCTGCTGGGTGATGCAGAAATTCAAATTAATCAATAAGACTAGATAACCATACTACAGTTTTGGAACTTTGAGATATTGGGATAAGGAAACTTTCAAAGGATTTTCACAATATGTTTTCCATGGTTCCAAAATCCTCCTCAATGATGTTTCTTTTTCAACAAACGGCATTCCCACCACTTGAAAACTCAGAAAACTTTCAGTTCCAACAGTTACCTACTTGATATCAAAATGGGTAAACTACTAGAGCATCAACTTCACTTAACAAAGACGGTATTGAGCCCAAAAACCTAGAGATGCCCCCTTCTCCAATTTCTCAATAGGTATCTTACAGGAACTATTTTTTTTTAATCTTTAACAATAATTTATTACTAAGATAAAATTATAAACAAACCCAATTAACATACGCCGTCCATTTTGGTAAGACAATTAGATCTAGGTATTAGAAGGATTTTTTCCCTTTCCAAATTTTTTAGATAGCTTTATATCATTAGATAAACAATATTAAGAAGGAAAAAAATGATTTTGAGTTTGCAAAAGCCTAGGTTTTTTTTTTTGCAAAAACCTAGATCTTGAAATTCACCAAATGGATGGTCTAGATTCATTGTTGGTGGGGTATTCATTTTTACCATATATAAGGTGCAAATTGAATTTTATTTTTTTGGGGATTGCTTATTAGGCTTAAGAGAGGTGTGTACAATTTTTAGGGTCATACAAATGTCACAAACATGGTTTTCTAAACATGTGGTTTCATTATTATATATATATATATATATATATATATATATATGTGTGTGTGTGTGTGTGTGTGTGTGTGTGTGTTCTTC